GCTTGCCATTCGTTCGGCTTTTCTACACCGAAGCTTCCCAATACGTGTGGCATGATGCAACCGGCGAAGCACACACCGTCACTCAAGCCGAAGGTGGAGAACAAGGCGACCCGCTCATGCCAGCCTTGTTCGCGTTGGGTCAGAGATCCGCCTTGCAAGCTGTACAAGAGCAACTCCGACCCGGGGAGCACCTTTTTGCTTTCTTGGACGACATCTACACACTGGTCCAACCAGCCCGTGTCCGCCCAGTCTACGACCTTTTGGAACAGCATCTAAGTGCTACGGCCCATATCCCGCTCCACCGCGGCAAGGCCAGAGTTTGGAATGCCTCCGGCGTGCAGCCGCCAAGTTTAACCAGCCTGGGGGCCGACGTGTGGGTCGGGGACTTGGGATTGCCAGCAGCAGAGCAAGGCATGATCATTTTGGGGGCGCCCTTGGGATCTGACGTTTTCACCGGCCAGCACCTCAACAACCTTTCAGCCACCCATCAAGAGCTCCTGTCTAGCCTCCCCGAATTGCAAGACCTGCAGGCTTCTTGGCTCCTCCTGCTCTTTTGCGCCAGCCCTCGCTCCAGCCACCAGCTACCGCTGACTTCTCCACACGCCATGACGAAGCCGTTTCCACGTGCCTGACAGAATTGCTGCAGAGCGGGCTCCTCCCAGTCAGTGCTTTGGCCCTCGCTCATTTGCCCTTATCCGAGGGCGGGTTAGGCTTGACTGCCGCAACTACAATGCCAGTGCGGCGCATTGGGGGTCCTACAGCTTCCCAGCCTGGCCCACCCCATCACCCAACAACTGCGCGACCCCCACCAATGCATCCCCAGCCATCCAAGCAGCAGCGGCCGCTGCACAAGCCCTTCGGCTTTGCGATTGGGAACCCCGTTCGTGGGACACCCTAATCGGCCACAACAGGCCAGGCCCCCAGCACCGAGGATGGCAGCAGCCCGCCGCCAAGGCCACCCACCAAGCCTGCAGGGCCGAGGTGTACAGCCACCTGCCCCCCGCCAGCCAAGCCCTTCTAGACTCCCAGTCCGGACCATATGCGAGCCGAGCATTCACCAGAATCCCATACACCGCCGAGTCCACCTACTCTTCCGAACGCTTTCGTTTGCTTATGCTTCGGAGACTCCGTGTGCCCCTCCCCCTGTCCACCAGGACTTGTCGATGCCGTCGCACTCTTGACACACTTGGCGACCATCGATCAGCTTGTGCACTATTGCGCAGTCGCAGCGGGCCACTTGAATGAGCAGCAGCTCGCATTTGCCGTGAGGCCGAGGCCAGGGTGACCGCCAACACCCGGGTAGCAGACTTGAACATACCCAATGTCCAAACCCTCGATGACCGCCGTATTGAAGTCATCGAAAATGGTTTACCTTTGTGGGGGGGGTGCCAAATCGCAGTCGACACCACCCTCGTCTCCCCTCTCACCCGGGAGAGCCAGGCATTGCACGACGCTCGCCGCAACAAAGAGCGGGTCTATCCAGAGCTCACCCGTGGCGGCCGCTGTCGCCTCGTCGTCCTGGGGATCGAAACCGGAGGACGGTGGAGCGAGGAAGCTTGCACCTTCCTCCGCCTCCTGGCACAACACCGGGCACGACAAGCCACACCCCTGCTCCGGCAAGCCGTCGCGGCAGCTTTGCTTCACCGCTGGTCCGCCATGCTCACCCATGCGGCTTTCACAGCCTATGCGGCATCCCTCCAGGGCTTGGACTCCGCCCCCACAAGCAAACATCGACGGAGACCCCCTGCCCCTTGGCCAGCTCCTCGCCCACCACGCCTCCACTGACCCACCCCAACCCAGCCGTCTCCCTTCCACCTAACCCACCCATTGGACTTTGCGAACCTGGGGACAGGCCAGGATAAAAACTGTCAACAAGTCTGGGGACAGGCCAGCATAAAAACTGTCATCACCACTGTCACCCTTAGCCATCGACCGGATGTGCGCGGAAAAAGGTGTGAGGAAAATAAACCCACCAGCTACTCAGAGATCAGAGAGGCCGTGTTGTCTCATGAGCACGCAACTAGGATTTGGTCGCAGGAGGCTATCATGAAGTCGTTGAACATGAAACCAGCAGACACAGGAGGCCCAGCACCAATGGAGGTTGACAGAACTGAAGAGAAAGGGAAGGGCAAAGGATGGTGGCAGTTTCCTTGTGGTGGTTGTGGCAGAGGACAAACCAAAGGAAAAGGAGGTGGCTATAAAGTTGGCAAGCCGAAAGGAAGGAACAAAGGCAAGTAGAATGGCAAACCCAAGGGCAAACAGAAAGGCAAACAAGGAGGAAAGAAAAAAGGCGATGTTGGCCAGAGTAAGTGCAAAATTTGCTACGGCTACGGGCGTTGGAGCAGAGATTGCCCACAGCGAGTTCAACAAGTGACTGAGACGAATGAATGTCAGGCGAGATGCAACAGGTTCAACAGCAGAGAGCAGGCCCAGGCGGAAGTCGCAGGACCGCAAGAAGCAGAGGCTGAGGAAGAAGCCATGGAAGAGCAGCACATTCCTGAGTTCCAGTCGTTGCACCAACGTTCAAACCAGCAGGACAAGAGGAATGCATTGTTTGTTGGTGAGATGCAGCTGACGGAGAGATCAGGCGTGAACGATTTGAAGGAAACGGCCGGTTGCTTGAAGTTGAGCACATCGGGATCAAAGTCCAAGACCTTCAACAGGACCAGAGACTGCTACGAGCAATCGTTCAAGAGAAGGGCTTTAGAAGTCGCGAGGCAAGACTATGCCAAGTTGTGCGCAGAACCCAGGTTCATCGATGCTCCAGTACAGCCCTCAGAACGAGAACGCAAGCTGCCGGATGTCCTCGCCCTGGCCGGCGCCACGGCACCTAGTCGCCTCCCTCTGAACCACTGAGGGGTTCGGCGTTTGTACATAGAGCTGAGCTTGTCGGCGTCCTGGGTGGAACACAAAAGAACGCTCGTGTTCGTTCTGTGTGATGGGCAAGAACAGGGCCAACTCCCATCGATGTTGCAGCACGAACGAATCCAACAGTGCAGGTGGGTAAATTTTCCTGGCAATTGCTTGTTGCTGTGCGTTGACGTGTGGAGCAAATACCTGCACATACAGCCTTTGAAGAACAAGAACCAAGATGTGATGTGTGAAGTGATGGCAGAATTGTTTGCAACACTTGGACACTATGAACCGGTGGAGCTTGCTTTCGACAATGAACCAGTGTTGGCTGCAGGTGCAACAATGACAAAGTCAATCAGAAGTAACAATGGATTGTACACTACCCTGCAGGCCGGCAAGCTTTATGACAAGTCGAGGACATCATAGGCTGAGAGATGCATTCAAACGGTGAGGTCATGAGGTCACAAGCCACGACTATGAATCATTGCTAACATCCAAGACAGAGCAAAGATCATCTTTGACGGGATGCGTGTGTTGCACTTATGGGCATTGGTCTGGTTGCTGACCAGGTACCACGTGACCAGTGCCACAGGCATGACCGCGTACTTGTCTGTGAAAGGCCGCCCTTATCGAGGACGTGTTTGCTGTTTTGGCGAGACAGTTCTTGGTTTGGATCCTCTACAGGCCAAAAACAAATCTCACGATCAGATGGGTCAGATGGATCAAGATCTGGCTTTGGTGAGTGAGAATGAGGTAGTGAGGTGCAAAGCAGTGAGGAAGACAGGAGCAGTGAGACGGAGAGCTTTTGATGAATGCTCAGGTTGGACCATGACATATGAATCGTGGAGTGCATACAAAAGTAGACAGAAAACCCATGGCTCCACCAGTCCCAGAATTGCTTAGTGATGTGCGCCGAAACCATCAAGATAAAGCAGAAAAAAAGTGAGGAGACAGATCAGAATGCAGAGGATGTTGAGAAGTATGCTGAAAAACACCCAGAAGAAAGCAAAGACATTAAAGTTGAGGAGACACAAAAGCAAGGCGGGGCATCATCACCTGCTATGCCAATGGTAGAAGTTTCATTGCCAACAGTTTCAGCGAGAACATCTTCAGAAGGAGGTCACACCTTTATGAAGAGGTCAGTCGAGAGTCGAGGAGATTGAAGCAGCGATGGCCGAGAGACAGCAACAAGGTCGTTATGACCATTTCCACTAAAAGAAGAAGGCCGAAGGCTGTTCATTTCGACCCAGATACATCTTTGCCGAGCCTAGTTCCAAGACAGCAAGAACATCATCTTCCACAACACGTCATGAGCAGAGTCAAGATCAAGAGAGGCAGGTCCGGCAAGTAGACGAACTTGAGCTGTATGTTGAAGATGAAGCAGAAGTGGAAGGTGAAGACTATGACGCCATTGACTGGCGAGAGCCAAGGGCAGCACAAACCGACGCTGTGCTGACCAAAGAAGAGATGGAGAAACGAGGTTTTTTCAATGAAGGAGGAGGACCACCAAAGGTGAACCCGGAAAAACTTCAGATGTTAGATCAACAGGCCATGCTGGCAGAAGTGAGTTGACCGTGATTGCAAAATTAGGTCAACAGACAACGTGGAGAACGCCATGAAACTTCACGCAAAGATCGTGCTTGACTGGAGGTACTTTCAGTCTAACCAGTCCACTTTCCTTCACCAAGCTGCTGTTGTCATTGAGCGTGACCATGAACCTGATGGTTTCAGTCATGGACATTTCTAACGCATTCCTTCAAGTGGTGCAGAAAAATTGTGTTGTGATCGAAGTCCCAAGCTGGATTTGTGTTTCGATAACATACAGCGTAAGCATTTATATAGTCAGCACCAACGGGGGTATTTGTTGTGTCGGTGGTGCGGTGTTTCCACTGCTGGTCCAGCATGGTTTCGCATTGAATATTTCCTGCTTAGTGATTTATTGCTCAAATGGATTGCCGCAATTTTTCATGTGACAATCGTGCTAGCGTAGATTCATGGCGTATATATAGCTTTAGGTTAGTCAGTTTCAGGCATGATTTGATCCATTCAAACCGATTCAAACCAGTAGTGTCCCCAAGCAAATCTGGCCCGGTGTTGGGAAAACGTTGTACTGACAACGGCGTGAGCGCTAATCATGGGCAACGGGGATGGAGGCCACAACCAGTTTTGAGTAGGACTTTGGAACCTTACTTGCGCATTTGGATCAGGCAGACCGGGTGGTGTCACATTGGCGGCACCTCCTGGAATTAGCGCGGGGACGGAATGTCATCCCCCCTTTCGAGAAAGATGAGAAGGCAATTCAGCAGCAGGATACGTGTCATGTTCGCAAGCTGGTTGTGAGCAAAACCGCCAAATTTGTAAAAGTGATTGGTCGCATGAGGCATGCCCTCGACCTTCCTTGACGCGTGCCGCTACCTTACATTTGTTGAGGCCAGGGCAGGGTTGAGTTCTTGTAACGTCATTTTGACGGGTCGGACATCGGACAATGGGCAGATTTGTCGTCAGGCAACGCTCCATTCTGCAAGAAGAATGGATTTCATCAGTCCACCCGTTAGCAAGGTACGACACATGGTTTGTAGTGGAACGTTGTCGCGTGGCAAACACTGGAAAGACAGACGATAAGGAATCCCTTGCCATCACTGTTGTCCAGTGGGAGTTCCACTGGACCTCAGCCTGTTTGGAGCTGAGCCTTGGAGCTGAGCCTGGGAGCTGTGCTCACATCCAGTGGTAGGATGTTGCGCATATGCAAAGCATTGGGTGTCACGTCTCAAACATGAAACGTGCTCACATCCTGTTAAGGGCTTGATGTGCTTGGATGTTCCTGCTTAGACGGGTCGACCAAGACTCGCAGGTGGCGCCAGTGAAGACATTGGAGTCAGGCACGGTGCACCATTTGGAAAAACAACCTATAGACTAGGGCTGTGGTGGAGCAGTCGACCGGTGTTTCTTTTTGTCGGGGCTGATCGGCTGATCTTGCTTCACTCATTGGTGCAGCCGTTGTTTCCAGTATTTGTTTGAGTGATGTGGCAGTGATGGGGAGGGCGCCAACATCAAATCATGTAACAGCACAACAACAACAACAACAGCAGCAGCAGCAGCAACAACAACAACAACGACAAGAACAGCGACAAAAACATACAACAACAGCAAGCAGCAAACAACCAATACACATACACAGACACACATCAACACAAAAAAACAGGACAACGCACAAACATCGCGATTGACCATTGCACCCGACACCTTGCTGAAGCAGACATTTTGTTGTCATTCTTTTTGAGTTTCCTTGTGGTGGATTTAATCTTGGTGCTCATGGTCATGGCTACGCTGGCTGGGTTCATGACTGTGGTTCAACAAAAATCCAGCTGATGAAGCGGGCCAGGGTGCCTTTGCTGCAAGTTTTCGCGTTCATGTTCATTCCAATGACTGTGAACACGGCCGGCCATATTTGACAAAGGCTAAAGTGCGATCAAAAGGCCTTCGGAGGGGGGCTCCGAAGGCAAAGATTGTGCCAAATGAGGCTTGAGCGTCGAGTTGCTTTGCGGGTGGGACCATCATATAGAGTGAAGCTTGTTGAAGCAGGAATTGTGCTAGCATTTATTGTGGATTTATTGTGGGCCTTTGCGCCAGGGTACCTTGGAACTTGGCATCTACTTGGATTGGGTTCGAGGGGAGCTTGAAAGCGAAGCCTCCTGTTTGGAGCGATCTGAGCACTTTTGTTTTGGTTTGCACAGTTTTCCCACTATGGATCAATGAGAGTGCTTTGACCGTTTCCTGGTGCAGGAGATGCCTTGGACCATGCTGATGCTCCTTTGTTTCGCTGCTTTGCTCTCAGCCGGCTAAACTCATGCCCGCGGGGACTTGCAAGTTGCAAGCTGCCACCACATGCAACGTTTTAGTTTTAGTGACTCTAGTGTGTCTCAGTTGCATCCGCCTTGGCAACACGTGAGGCTTTGACGTTCATGCACGTGCGCCCAGACTACACTCTGACAGTCGAGTCTGCTTGGAAATATGCCCCTGGACCGCAGCTCGTGGATTGGGCTCCAAATTTCTCGTGTTTGCAAACTGGTAAGTGTCATTCAGTGCAGGCAATTGAGGAGAATGCAAACTTTGCCTGGTCTCAAAACTTTGGCCACAAGAATGCAATTCGGCAGCGGAGTTATGAGAGACGCTTCACGGAGATGGGCTGCTCTAATTCAAGGCTGTTCTACCAACTTTTACTCCTACATACTCTTGCGCTCGGCACGTTCACTCCCTTTTGTTTCGGACTCCTTTGTCCTTCGAGCCTTTTGTAGGGCCCTTTTGGAGGGAGGGCAGGCAGGTTTTGCAGTTCAGTCTTGCTGTTCAGTCTTTTATCGATGCGGCTAGTACTAGTCCCAACATTTTAGTCTCCGCTTCGGGCCCTTTGCAACTAGAGAACGTGTCCAGAGCCAAGTGGCTATCCTAGGGGGTCATTTTCCGGGTTATGACTTGCTAAATAGGGTGACGGTTGTGTTGTAGGTGCAGTGCGGGGACTGATGCTTCAGGTTGCAAAGCTGATCGTGTTAAAGAACCCACCTGAACATTCTACTGCTGCTACTGCTACATTTTTACATGCTTTCTCCTTAAGTCAGAGTCAAAAAAGAGAATGAGGTATATGATGTGGATTCCATCGCCGACTTTTGGTCTTGGCTCCGGCTTGGCTTGCTACCAAACTTGGCACGACACTCTTGGCTCTGGTCTGAAGGCGCAAGATGAGGGTGTGTGCATATTGCGTGGGGAGGTGCATGATGAAGCAGTCCACTGCATTTGCTAAAAAGAGGTGTAACCTTTGGAATCATGGGGAGCTTTTTGGCAGTCTCTTTGGCTTTTGTCAATTATTGGAGTGCAGAAAGACTGCCTGACTCGGACAAGTCCAACGAAGACGCTGTTAGGAATTGCTGATATGGATTCCGGACGTGGCATCCACCTACCTGCATTTCGCGTTTGTTTGTGATGTTTGTAGTTACGCTCTCTTTTAGTGACGAGTCTGGTTGGTTAGGTGCAAAAGGTCTGCAGACACGCGCTTGTCGTTTTAACCTCTTGATGTTTTGCATCTTGGAACTTGGATGCTTTGGATTTTGGATCTTCGTTACCTTGCAGGTTTAGATGGTTGGACCCCTTTACACTATATACTTAGGTTTTCTTTTGCCGAGGTTTCTTTTGGACCTGTATTCCATATCTGGAGTGCGTGGGTGTTTGACCTCTCCGGCAGACGAGACACGAAATGTGTTCCGCAGGCCTAGATGCAGGCTATGCAGATGCAGCCAATGAGACTACGTTCAACGCTAGCCAGCTTCCTTCTGTTCTCGTTGCTCTGCTAAATGCTTCGTTTGGCTTCCCTGAACGCGGTGCTGGTTGACGCGCAAGTTACCTCAACTGAGGACTTGGCTTATGGTGGCTTTGCTGGTTTTGGATTGACACTGCAAGCACAGCTATGCAAACCAATGAATGTTTTTGATTTGCTGACGTGTCCTGACCAGCCGCTAAAGAACACTTCAGGCTTATTTCCTGATGAGCCCTGGGGTAATGCCAGCATTCCTGTTCGCGATGCACCTTAGCTTGTTCCTGCCGTGGCGTGCTTGATGATTTCTTGGTTTGCAACGAGGTGAAGAGTTGCCATCTCTATATACCGGTCATTTGTCTCATGAAAATGGTGGAGCATGATTAGGGACCCTCAAAAAAGCTGAACATGAGGACTTCTATCACTTCAACCGTGTTGTGGCCGGGATCCGCCTTCGACAAGAAAGAACAACTGGAAGTTGGGAGGCCTCCAGCATTTGGGGAAGACAAGAGTTTGCCAGTTTGCCATCTGATGTCAAGGGCATCCAACATTGGACCTTAAAGCAAATCAGCGGAGTTACTGTAGTTTGGTTGAATGGCAAGTATGAAGGTATGGAGCAGTAGAAACCGGGTCAAGCGTCGAGTTCAAAGCAGATTTTCAGCTAGATTCATGCCATACACTGCCAGGCTTGCAAAGTGCCTCCAGGCTCAGCAGGGTTGAAATGTTCAGCACCACTACAGTATGCAGAGTATTCTTTGACATGCTTTGAGACAGGCTTGTCAGAAGACCTATGGAAAGAATGGCTGGGCAAGCCCTGCATGCTCGCAGAGCCAAACTACTTTCTGAAGCCAGAGGCGCGTCTCATGATGGGATGTATTGAGGCAAGAAAGAGCCACAGCATATTTCAAGACATACAGATACAGACAAAATGCACACACACACACACATATATATATAGATAGATAGATAGATAGATAGATAGATGGTATTGCCATTGCCCCCTTGCCAAGTCTACAATGTATACAACCACTCCAAGCATGCAAAAAGTTCAAGTGCATTTGCATCACTTCTTGATATTCCAGAATATCAGGATTCTTGTTGCAAGTGAAATATTGGTTTGTAAAGGTAAAAGGACATGGTTCAACAACTTCATTTTCGTGCGAAACAAACACAAACAAACAGAATGCAACCACGGAAAATACTTTCTTTTGAGGCAGGATTGACATTTTTTTGTGAAGCTAAACTTTATATATAGCCTCTCTCAAGACGATAGGACACCCTGTGGTTTCCCTGGAGTCTACACACTGGGGAAGTGTACCAGCGCAAGATTGTTCGCAGACACGCCTTGCCATGTCGCTCTCTCTATATGTACAGGCGTAGATGTCCAAGAGCTCTTGGACATGATCATTGAACAGGAAAGGGGATGTAAAGATAAGACAATGCACATACCTGAAGTGGGTGAGTCCTTTCCTCATTAAAGCTGCCATACGCAGGTCCACCAGGCCGAAGTTTTTAATGGTGAGCCACAGCGTGTGGAATGGATGCTCACTGCTCAGCAATCGCTGCAAGAACTACACACGATGGCACTGGACATGGAGGACTTGTCGGGGGGGCTTCTCTCCTGTTCTGGGAGGGAGAGACTGCTGGTTGAGTCTGACAAAACAGGTGTGAGGCGGAAAGGCTACGAAAGGAATCGGAAGCCCTGCCCTTGAAGAGATTTTGATTCAACTCCCTTGAAGCACTCCTGAACAAAGAAGGTACGGCACTTCTGCAACCCTGAAGTGTTGCCCCTTTTTGGCTGGGGATTGGCTGATGGGCTGGGCTGGTTTTTGCTGGGGCACTGAGTTGAGATGAACAAAAGCTGGAGCACCTCCCTCAAAAACGTCCAAGCTGGAGCTAATGTGGTGGACCCACACACACACATATATATATATCATATAAGAGTATGTATGTTTGTATGTAGGTATATATATATATATATATTACTTTTTTGTGCGTGTGGCTCGCGAAAGGCTGACCTTTCAAATGGCTTTGGTTTGCCTGGTTTAGCTTTTCTCGCCGCAACATCAGCAAACAAACTGCAATCCATTGAGGTGACCCTCTTGCAAGCCTCGCGTTCAGGATGGCTGCTCTGGTGCTCTATCATTTGCGTGGCCGGACTGCCGTTGTCAAAGCTGCAGCCCGGCTGTCCTGACTTGCGAGCGCTTGGCGAAACCGGTTGCAGAGAACCAGCAAACAACACGTAGTTCTGTCCTTGTCCTTTTTGTGGCTCTATGAGCAAAGTGGAGCTTAGTCCTTTCTAGTGGGACTTCATTTTAAAGCTGGGCTGATTTATATATAGAGAATAGAGATCTCGAAACAGGAGGCAACCCCTTGTTGGGCCATTTTTGCGATGACGGGGTGTGGTGCAACTACAACGACTATAAGATTTGTCAGGGATACAAACCGTGCCCTCGCCACAGGTCACGGTGGTGCCGAGCTGCCATCAGGCGTCAGTATACCCGGGCCATGGGTTGATGAGACCCGGCGACAGACGTGGACAGAGCTTTTCTTTCCTAATGTGGCAATGTGGCAAGG